TTCGAATTAGAAGGCAGTAATGGAAATTCAATTTTCTTTTGAGCGAATGAAGTTCAACCAGTCAGTTCAGATTTCGATTTTTCAAAATTTAATTTTGTATTTTTTAGGTATCCGACAGCATCAGCCAAGAAATTAACGAACAACTTCTACTTCTATGCGCGCTTTTGGGAGCAATTCTATTATGTACTTGTATTACACTGTTAGGATTTTGTATTTGGAAATGCAAATCAAAGCAAAAGAAGCCAAAAGCGAAATCGCCGACTGTTATTGTTCATTCACCAAGTTGGGACCATGATCATTTCGTGTAAGTTTTCGCGTTCCCGCTATTTTTCTATGGAAAATTTCGAATTTAATGCAAGCACGAGTCCTATTTTAATACCGGCACGACATTGAAATTATGCATAAATTATCAAAATCATCAAGATCGCTTGGATGTCGATGTGGGTATTCCGTCCAGATCGCCCAAATGCTTATAATTTTACTGGCGTGAACTTATAAACCAACGTGTAATCGTGCTAAGCCCTTCGAAATGTACCAAAATTTTTAAAACTGCCAGATGCGAATATCTAATGTTACTGCTTTACCAGAAAGGCCTTAGTGGTACTTTCTATGAAAAAAAAAAAACATTGAAATTGTGTTCACGAGCAAACATACAAGTAGGCTTGGGGAGCTGTTTTTGCGGTGAGTACTAACTGAAAGTATGCAGCCTAGGATCGAAGGGCCTGGCATAGCTGTGCTTAGTTTTTGGGATCATTGCAGTATTATCACTAAATTGAGATCTCATGCTGATAGCCTGAACGATCTTGATAATTATTATTTTTATTTTTTCATGAATACTTCCAATTAACAATAGTTACTATTTCAGAAGGCATCTCGATCAGTTAATACATCAAAACAGTGGTAGTAGTATGGATTCTGCACCGCCAAGGAACCTTTTCTCCACGGATACGTCAACTGATGCTCCCGCTCAAAGTACCGATTCAAGTACCCATTCAACTCCGGTAAACTCGTCACCAGAAAGCGACACTCAATCCGGGGATTATTCGTCTGCTGATGGAAATGTCAATATGTCCGTAGAAGCAAATTCATCGTGGCAATACCAAAACATGTGATCATTATTGTAAGTATATTCTGTTCGGATTTTAAAAGTGCTTTATTGTATGGTACTGGTATTATTCATGAACAAGTCGGTGCTATTATTTTTATATATATGGTTTATTTTTGATTTAATTTGCTTGTGCATGTATTTGTCATCGCATCCTTAAAATCCAGAAATTTTTGTAACTTTCTGGATAGTATTAGGATTATTTTTGAAGGAGAAAGTGGTTGACACTGACATTTGGTACCACTCGGCTTACTTCTGATTCCCTTTGCCCTTCGTGAAAAGCGAATACAAAGAGGATTTCAATATAGAGCAAACTGTAGTCAAATAGATATGATGCGATGACAACATGCCTGGACTATTTTCTCATACATTTTTAATTTAACAGTGTAACTCT